GTGTGAAGGGGAATCGGAGGATGCACTCTGGTCCCCCCACCATACCCCAATTTGTTCTCCCATCTCCTCACTGCATCTGTGGCCTCAACAATACTAGGTGTGTTGAGAATGATGTTCAACCCTTGTGGCAGGGCTGATTGGAACCACCGCTCTGATGACACTTATCTGTATAGGCACACACTGATAAGGCCCCAAGTTCAGCTCCTAAGGATCTGTTCTAATGAGCAGAGTCCTCCTTTTAATGGAGGTCAGCATTCCCTTGAAGACTGGGAAGGAGCAGTTGAAAGCACAGCTCCTGTGAGGGTCACATCAACCTCCTAACAGCCAAAGTGCTGAGCAAGCTTCTCTTCATGGGGCGCAGGGGCAGGATTGAGGGGCACTGGCCCAATTCCCAGGCATGGGGCCCTTGCAGGAGGCCAGCCAGCAGGCCCAGTGGTGGGGAGGAAGTCAGCATGCTCCTCCTTAAGGCAACCTCTTTCTGGCCTCCTGTGACTTAGCCTGAGCAAGTGTGCAGTTATCTGTCTGCCACCTGATAGATTCCTGGTGATGGGAAGGCCACCCAAAGGCAGATGTGACAATTACGGTGCCTGCGGAGGGGCTGGGAGGACTTACCTAGATTCCTGGGGCCCAGGAGGCAGCAGCTGTTCTCAGCCGTGGACATATGGGTGGCGGACGTCTGCTTTGGACTTAGCCTCACGGCCTGTTTTCCCCAAACCTCCAGAACCCCACCCACCCAGCCTCTTGGTACTGAGGACCCTGCTCATGTCAAAAGATTTTGCCTATCAGATTTTATTTCTCTGACTTCAAAAGATTTTGTCTACTAGACTGTATTTGCTGACAATTAAGTTTTTCCATCAGTGACAGCCGTCAGTTGGAACGATCGTGCTGTGACATGACTCCCATACAACAGGGGAAGGGAGACGCTGCAGCGGACAGGTGCCCTGCCTCGGAGGCGCACGTCCTCTCTCAGAACGCATGCCCACCTTGGAGCTGGCCTCCAGACCTCCTGTCACAGAACAGCTCTTCCAGGGACTCTTGTGCAGGTCTGAGCACCCAGTTGGTATTTACTGAGCACTTACTCTGCCCTGGTGGGTCCAGTGCTGGCACCGAGTGAGTGCCTGTGAACACTCAGAGTAACTCACTCAGTAGACTGGGCAGGTTGGTCTCCTCAGCCTCACACTGGAGCTCCAGGCTGGGTGTCTGCAGTCCAGGCCCTAGTGATGGAAACTGCCCGTCCCCCTCAGAGCGGTCTTGCTGAATGAAGCCTAGCACAGGGACAGGCACATGTGCTGAAGGGATCTCACTTGCTGAGCACTCACTTGGAACCAGGTGGCACTTCATCCAATACTGAGCAAAGGACATAAAGCTCGGCAGCGAGGCTGTGGCCACACTCCCAGGCACAGGCTTTCCTAATGCCAAACCCTGGCTCTGAGGCTTCCTAAAGCTCACCTTTCTGACAGCTGTTTCTACCTGGGAAAGCTCTCCCTGGCTGCGGGGCAGGGAGGAGTCAGTGAGACATGGAACAGAGAGGTGCTCCCCATAAAAAGGCGCAGGGGAGTGGGCCAGCTAGGCCCCTGTCAGCCCTCTCTCACCTGGTTTTCACTGGAACCCCAGCTGGCAGGCACTGCCCACAGACTTTAGGACCAGCAGGAGCTCTGTGCAAAGTGAGCTCGTGCAGACGCCAATGGGAAGCCTGACCCTCTCAAGGGGGCTGGGGTAGGTCTTTTCTGACTGTGGTTCAAGGACAGTTGAGTCAGCATCACCTGAGAGCTGGTCAGCAGTTCAAATCCTCAGTCCCCATACAGGATTTGGATGCTGGCTACAGTCACAGAACCACTGGGTTAAATGATCCCCAAGGTCTTCCCCTTATTTTTGTGACAGGGTCTCACTGTGTCCTAGGCTGCAGTGCAGTGGTGTGATCACAGCCCCTGGCAGCTTCCAACTCCTGGGCTCCAGTGATCCTCCTGCCTCAGCCTCCCCAGTAGCTGGGACTACAGGTGCCCGCCACTGCACTGGGCTGATTTTTCTAAGTCTTTCCTCAGCTATTTTCTTGCTAAGCTGCCTCAGCATCTCTTTCTGGATTCTGCGTCCTGGGCTCCCCACTCCTGGAATGTCCCCTCCCTGTCCCTCATACTGTGCTCCACAGGCAGCCTTGGTAACAGGGACAAGAGCTATGTGGGTGGGCCATGGTGACGAACTGGAAAACCTCAGCATGGACGTGGAATCTAAGGCCACTTTTCATTTGTGGACCTATGATAAGATGACCTGAGCATCTTTATAACAGTACATCATAAACATAAGGGCAGTAACCAGACCAGTAGGGCTGTTTCTGAGCCCTCACTGTGCCAGGCTCTGGGCCAAGCCCTTCGACTTCAACCTCATCACTCCAGCAAGGCTGGAGTTGGGAGCCCTGGATTCTCATTTCAGCCTTGACACTCACTAGCTGGGAGGCAGTGGTATAACATTCTTTAGGGCCCAAGTTTAGTAGTTTTAAAGGCAGGGTTTTGAGTGGATGAATCACAGAATCAGCATGCTGCATGAAAGAGCCAGACCCAAAGGAGGACGTCCTGTATGGCCCAGTCACAGGAAGCTCCAAGACACACAGATTCAACGATGGTGTGATCACAGCAGTGACTGTGGGAGTTTTGGAAAGCGGACAATTTTGACTTGGAAGGGGCAAAAAAAACGTTATGGGGTGATGGATGTCCTACCTTGACTGTGGTGGAGGCTACAGTATAGTAGGCAACTAAACATTTTAAAAGGATGAATCTTATGTGTAAAATATGTCTCCATTTAAAACATTCCTAGTAAAATGAGGAGCTGGGACTGAATGAATTATAAAAATATTTTGAGTCTAGACTCCTGGATTTCTCTGCTTCTGACATGCGGTGACCCAAAGCCATGGATAACCATTGTCGGGAGATGCACTAAAGCCCCTCACACTGTGGGCTTTGTCCAAGACTGTCATCTCCCTGCAGTGGCAGCTGTGCCCAGGGCCTGATTCTGTCCACCAGCAACACACAATTGACTTTCCCTTGTTTGCATTTTAATAGTGGCTGCCTCGATCTGCTAAGATGCCTGGGACTTCTTTAGTAGGTGTCAGCATCGTCAGTGGGAGCAGGTGGGAGGCAGTTAACTAATTTAATGAACAAAAATCACAAAGGAAAGATTTATGAGAAGGAGGTGGAGGAGAGAAAGCAGCCAAGGAGTCATTGACTCCTTAGGATCACAAACATGTATTTCCGTCATAGAATCTTTATTTTACACATTTGCATCACAGCAAGAGAGTTCATCCCGTACATCACCATCACCTTGATCTGACCCCCACCCCTTATATGTTTACATAAATACTCTTCAATGATCATTAGTGTTAAAAAAAAAAATACTGAAAACTCCTTCTGCATCCCAATCTACCCAGGAAAGCAAACGGTATTTACAGACCTGTAAGCCTCCCTCAAATGAAACTTATTTCTGGATTAAATGTCTGACTTCTTTTGTGGTCACATGACTAGGCAAATGCAATTTGCAATCTGTAAAAGCTGCTTAAAGAGTCAAGAACCATCCCCTGTGTGGATAGGATTACTGGATCCTATAATAGTTTCTCAAATGCTAAGAAGGCTGTCCTCCAGCACCCTGTCTGATCTGATTGCCCACCACAGAATCCGAAACACGCATTTCTGTCCCAGGACCTTTACACATTTGCATCACAGCAAAATAAGCTGTTTTGGGGGCTGAGTTAGATATTGTTTCACCCAGAACTCCCCCTCCAACTTTCTGCCATCAGGATCCAACAGGTCCCCATTAGCACCACCATGCCTCCCTTTAGGGAGTGCTTGTCCCGGCCTTGCCTCACACTATCTAAAACATTATCTATTTTTCAAGCACAAACCACGCAGGGAGGGCAGGAGGGCATAAGCGCATCAGCAGGATACAAAAGCGGCCCATAGGGAATTTGGAGAAGGTTCTGCTTACCCACCAGTAACTACGTTCCAGGTGGTGACAAGTATTAGCACCAACTCAGGCAGATGTCTTTTAGTGCCAGAAACACTCTAGGGAAAACTGAAGTAAAGAGCAGATCTTCTAGAACATTTGCTATGTTATAGATGAATACCCTTTTGATCTACCAAGAGGTACCAAGTCAAAGTCTACCTTCTTCAGTGGGGACACCCTCACCTCACCATGGGCACCCCGGGTCTGGCACACTGTGTATGTTACAAGGCCAGGCAGGCCTGAGAAGAGCAAGGGGTGAGGTGTGGCATCTGGGAGCAGGGGTGGAGGAATGGGCCAGGGTCTGTTTTCTTTGAAATTCAGCAGCTTGGTAGTGTGAGACATGAACTTTTGGGCTGTTTCACTGGGTGTAGGGAGCTGGACCAACAACCTCCTCAGACTATCTAATGCTCTAAAGAGCCTTCCTTGAAGAAAATGCTTCAGGATGGGAGAGATGGCCAGAATGCCTTCACAACTAAAACAGGCATCTTCTACACTCTTCTTTGGCATATAAGGAGGAGTTCCTTGTAGCTGACTCTAAAAAGTACTGAAAGGAGACGTACACTTTAGTGTGGAGGGACCATCACATGCTGGCCAAAGCTATGACATACAGCATTAGTGTGCACTGTCTTAATAAATTCTTAGTGTAGAAAAGATATCCTCATGGCTGCTGGGAGAAAACACTGCAATGCACCAAACCCTGTTGTGGGACCAACAGGCCTGGGCAGAAAAGAGGTGGAGGAGGAACTATGGAGGAGGAGGAGGGAAGAGGAAGATGAAGGGAGGGCAAGGTAGGAGAGTAATGGGGGAGGGGAAGGAAAGAGAGGGATGGGGGAGGGGAGGGGAAGGACTAAGAGGGATGGGGGAGGGGAGGGGAAGGAAAGAGAGGGGTGGGAAGGGGAGAAAGAAAGAGAGGTATGGGGGAGGGACACGGAAAGAGAAGAATGGGGGGAGGGGGGAGGAGGGAGGAGGGCCCATGACAGAGAGAGGAGGGGGGAAGGAAGAAGGAAGGATTGAGAGAGAGAAGGCTGTGGGACACAGAGAGAAGAGATCCTGATAAGATCATAATTTGGGAGTGGAAATCTGGCCGCAGCAGTCACGTGAAGTGGACTTAGGAGGCTGTGTGCTGCCTTGGCTGGCTGGACATGTCTGGGGGGGACAAAAAAACTGAATCTTTTACATAAAAGTGGTTTCTTGAAAGAAAATGGAACTGGCCCAGGTTTTGCTTGCAGCTGCGTCTTTAACACTGGAGCAAGCATCTCATTACAAGACAATGGACCACCAAGTCACCAGGATGATATTCAACTTGACAGATCTTAAATAACTTAAATTTCAAAGCACTGAGGGTCTAAGAAACAGGCTAATCAATCCATGGCCAGTGTTAATAGGCAGGATCAAGAGATCAATGGCTGTTCTTGTTCAAGAAATAATTTTCTAGCAAAATACACACATTTCAGTACATCTCACAGCCAGCAGCACTTTTAGTCTGCCGATTTCTCAAAGGAAACATGGATTTCTGTGCAGGCAGGACCGCAAGCAGGAGCACGAGCTGAGCTATAAATACCACCTATGGCTCTGTGATGTGCACCCGGTGTTTTTGCCCAATCCCTGAAATACTGCAAGGGCTTAACTGTTCAAACTCTGCATGACATTGAGCCCAAGTGGCTGGTGAAGAGCAGCCCACTCGCAAGAGGGGCCTGCTAGTTAGTAACACTACTTGGACCATCAGGACCTCAGGACCATCTTTACTTGAGGACAACTGAACACTGGGTCACAGCTATTAAGTGCTATGGAGAAAGAGAAGACAAATTTACAGAACAGGATGAAAGCTTAAATAATTTTTTTAAAAGCTTGGAACCACCACCTGTTTTCCTAATCCTGAGCTGGGGTTTTGATTTTTCTTAATCATCAGCCTGACTCCAAACCTTTGACCTGCTTATTAGAAAAGCTGCGGACTTTACTTGTAAAAGAGTACCTGATTATCTGCGTGCTGTTCTTCCACCAAGTTCAGCACTGTAAAGCTGAGGCCTCTTGGGCACTCTGTGGATGGGCCTGGAGGTGTGTGTGGGATCTGGAGACCACGTGCTGCTCGGGACCATGTGTTGGCACAACTGGGAAGGTGCCCGTCTGGCCTGGGGGCTGGACAGTGCTTGTCCCCACACATGCTCACCCTGCCTCTTACTCCTCTACTCCCTGGTTTCCTTGTTTCAAAAACCCAGCATGTGAAATGAGGACACCTCCACGGAGACCCTGTCTAATAGGAAGGTTTCATCATACCTTTTGTTCCTGCCAAGGAGTCTATCACCTTGTCAACAACATCTGTTTGTAGAAGAAACAGCAAATGCATCTTCTGAAGGAAACACCTCTGAGGGTTTGGGTGGTTGTAACACAAGACGCACTTTTGCACTCCTACTGTGTTTATGTACAGGAAGTGTACATAACATAAAGTGTTAAAAGTATTCCCGTCCTTCCTCCTGTCACATAGTTCCAAGTGAAGTTTTAAAAAAGAATTCCCTTAAGCGACTCCTTCTTCTCCTGAAGATGGGAAGTTACATGAAGCTTCCCTAAATTCCCTGCTCAGAGGCATCTGGGGCCCTGGGAGAGGCCCACTGCTCCACGTGAGCCAGAAAAGCAGAGCACGGAGGGCTGAGAAAAGTGCACAGTGAGAACACCTGCTTCCCCACGGGCCACTCACGAAGGGATGTGGAGAGGGAAGAAAACAAAACAGAGACTTTTTGAGTTCCACATCTGCGATTAGGAGTATGACCCCAAATCCCATGGTTTCTGACTGGCCCTCTGAGCCAGAGGTGACAGTCACCCCCTCAGGTGGCCTTGCACCTGCTCACTGACAAGCCCAGGCAGGGGTGTCTCAAGATTCTGGAAGCAACCCTACCCCGTGGCCCCCAAGCATCAAGCAGCACTCCTGACAGGGCCATGTTTTGGTCTTCTGGTGAGCCCTAGATCACAAAGGACCTTCAAATCTTGTCCCATTATTCAAATGACTAATCTTTGAGCTGTAGTACTGTTCACTTCAGGCAACTATGTGTGTTTATCCCCAAGCTCTGAAAGTTTGGGAGGGAACTTCACTGAGTTTCCATGAAAGATTTCACTTTCTTCAAATCCCTGAGTATAACACTGTTTAATCACACTCATTTTCCTCATATGCATACTCCTGGGATATAGGGACCAAGTCTGTGTTAAGTCCCAGATTTAGAAGTCCTGCTTGGTCAATAGGAAAGATTTCTAATGAGGATGATCGGCTTGTACTTAAGTGTTTGTTTAAACACTACCTTTGTGCCCCCAGCTGCTCCTTAAGGAAAATTCCTTCCCATTTTCCACAAAATTCTGATCATACAAAATAGATTCAAGCCACAAGAGAGGGGTGGAAACAAGAGACAATGCTGCCCTGGACTGCCGGGGAAGCCAGGTGTGTGGGAAAATCCTACAGGAGAATGCTTTGTAAGCTTAAAAATACATTTCTTTCCATCCACTAAGCAACAGACTATACTCAATCAAGACCATTTCCCGCCCCTGGGCTATGTCCCAGGACCAACGACCCTGACTGTGACATTACAACCCTGGGATGACAGCCCTTTTGGACAGACCAATGGACCTCTAGAGCTGTCAGATCCTGATCACTTTCAAACTCTGAAATAAAGGTCTAGGGCAACATTCAGGGCCAGGCATGCTGGGGCAGGTGCTACATATTAAATTTGACTTTGACTTTGCTTTCTAAAATAACCTAATTTCATTTACTTTTGTCCCCCCCAACGATGCAATGACACTCTTGCTTTCCCTTCTTTGTAAGTCTTGTGCCCTCAGCAGACACCTGACCATGTCCCATAGCCGCACTCCTGTACCTTGACTGGCATCAGACTCACACTTCCCACCCCTCCTCCCTCCCACCAGTGTTCCTTCTACTCTGCCACACATGTGGGGTCACAATTGCATATACCCTAGAGCTCCCACCTGAAAAAAGAGTTTACGTGAAAAACAAATTCTTTCTTTTCTCTTCCTCCCCCTTATCTCTCTACCTCTCCCTACCACTTCTTCCTGAAGGAGAATTCTAGCTGCCCATCACCAGCCTCAGCTGCAGCTTCCATTAAAAGAGTACAAAATCAGGTTTCTGTGGCACTTTGCTCCTAGCCACGTGCTCTGTGTCACTGCTAGGAGGTGCCAATAGTTCACTGTCAGGAAATGCTCTTGCTCACCAATGGGACAATCAATAAATTAAACGTCTTCTTTGACAGTGCCGGCCTCAATGTCAACTCTATCACACTGTGCCTTCCCAGTCGCCCTGGGGCTCCACAGAGCCATTGGTCACCTTCTTGACTTTTTTCATATTCTCCATCACTCCTGACGTCGTCACTCTGAACAAGGAAAGAAGAAAACAATCAGGAAAGTCTTATAGTAAAAGGCCATCACAGCACAGTGGGTAGAAGGAGTTATGGGTGCTGGATCTAGAATCCTGGCCTACTCTTGTTAGGAGCTGTGTAACCTCGGCCAAGTCATTTGACTTCTCTGTGCTTAAGTATAATAAATTTCACATTCTAGAACCATCATAAGGAAAAAAAAAGATTCTTCAAAGTATCTAATCAATAAACAGCAGCTGTCATTATTACAACTATGACTAACCTCTTTCTTTTTGCCATGACCTCCAGAACTTTTATGTTGCAGACATATGCAGTGGTTAGGGTTACGGGATTGATATCTGTGCCATAATTAACATTTGGGGAAAAAGCTAATTAGCCGCACATTTATAATAACCAGGCACAGGGGATCACTTCTGAGTCATGGGACAGAATCACAGCTCAGAAGAATCTTCCGGGCCCAAGGATTCTTTGACCACTACAGAAAGAGGACTAACAGTTTTCTGCAAATCCAGGCCCTGGTTTCTGCAAGGCTGAGGCCTGGTCGTCGGCTGCCAGTGTGTGGTATCTGCATCCACTCTGAGCTCCTGTTCTGCCTGCCAGTGCTTGGCACTGAGGAGGCACCAAGGTACTGGTCGCTGAACATGAGAACTGAAAATGGAAGAATACTGGCCTCACAAGGTGCAAGGAGCTAGTGAGGCAGCCGCTTCCATGAGATGAATCAAGACACCTCCAGAGAGGGCACAGTCTATGAAAAGATAATCTCCTGCCTCACAAAGGTGAGCTGGGAAGATTTTCTTGATTTTTTTTTTTTTTTTGTAGTTTTTGGCTGGGGCTGGGTTTGAACCTGCCACCTCCGGCATATGGGACCGGCGCCCTACCCCTTTGAGCCACAGGCACCATGAGCCGGGAAGATTTTAAGGTGCTTTGCATCTACGAAGGAACTGAGTGGCTCTGTGAGCAGCAGGAGAAACCAGGCAGAGATATGGAGCATCAAAACCCACTTGGCCCAGCAATCAGAGACAATGAGGCACTTATGTTCCCCCACTGTGAACCAACAGAAATTTCCTTATCAGTAAAATAAATTCCACAATCAACTCAATTATCTGGTGTGCATCGGGCTGGACCTCACAGAAAACGCTTTTGGGCGTTAAGGGAGAAAACTTTACTTCGTTCTGCTGTTCCTGCCACCACATTGCAGCTGTGCCCAAGCTTGAAGCCACCAGCCCTCCCTAGAGTCGGGACCTTTCTCAAACAAGACCTTCTCAACTTGGCAACGTTGGCACAAGATATGTGGCCAGAACATGGTTCTTGTGGAAGCTGAGGTTTCCACAGATGCTACCAAGTGTAAAATATCCCCCTAGACAAAGGGAAACACCTCAACTGGGCACCAGCATCATTTCCTACCTGACCTCCCTAGGCAGGGATGATGCTTTTCCCAGGAGGACGTGCACACAGGGCTGCCTGAAGAAGCCTTCTCTGCCCGGGCCAGAGGACCAGCAGCCCCCTGCTTGTCCACATCTTCCAGAAACCCTCCCGGTAATAACACAGCTATCCTTTAGTCACTGCTCGTTGTTAGTAAAGGACAGGCACTCAGCACACATTGACACTGACAGGAAAGCACACCTACTGCGACCCAGGCCAGTAGCACTGACGGCCTGCTTGGCAAACACATTTTGCACCTTTCTCTCCTTAAGAAAATGTTTCTTGCCAAGTGGTGAACCAAGTGAGAATAACTTCTACTCTTTCAAGACTGGCCTGGTGCGAGGTCACAGAGGAGAAAAAAGGGAATTGTTGCTCTTAGGGAGTAACAGCCTATTCCAGGGCCACAATGCAGAGCCATTTACGACACACACCTGCTGGGAAGAAGCCCCCCTGCCTCAGGACTGTAATGAAAGCTGAGGAAGAGCTGGGCAGAAATGTAGGGGGCGGGCGGTTTCTGAAAGAAGAAATACAGCAGGCAAGAGGCGTGGAGGGAAACAGCACCACATTCCCCTGCGCAGTTGTGGAGCGCCACAGAGCTGCAGGAGTATCTCCAGCCTCCGTGAGGAAAGCAGTAGGAACAGAGTCAAGGGCAGGCTTGGCATGCAGGGCTCCGGCAGCCTTGTCCAGAGGATGAACTTGATTCTCATTCCAGGGGTTCTCAGAGATAGCGCCCTGAGGAGTTTAAAAACACAGATGCCCAAGCCCCAGGCTCTGAGAATCTGAGTCTCCAGGGAAGTGGCCAGGAAACCTATTTTTTTTTTTTTTTTGCAGTTTTTGACCAAGACTGGGTTTGAACCTGCCACCTCCAGCATATGGGGCCAGTGCCTTACTCCTTTGAGCCACAGGTGCCACCCTGGAAACCTACATTTTAAAAACACTCTCCAAGTGATTCTAGGAGCCCAGGAAAATAGACAGGAAGGGGAGAAGGTCAGAAGTGAGGAAACTAGCCATCATGGAAGCTGGGCTCTGAGATAGAAAGGGGGGCTGGTGACAGACATGATGTTAGGCCTTTGAGATGTGGTCACTCCCCCCACCAGCTAAGGAAGAGGGAGGTGCTTCAGTCACCAGCTCTCTTCTGCTGCTGGCACTGAGGTACATGGTGGTGGCATCAAGGCCTGTGGGAACGCCGATGAAAGGCAGAGAGAGAGACCCAATGCTCACAAGGGCACGTGGGTTTGGGCTGGGGGGTGGGCAGCAAGGAGATGGTCGGGAGCACCTTGGGTTTGGGTGAGTACCAGGAATGAGGGGAGGGAGAATGGGAGCACAGGCATGTGGAGCACAGGAGGACACCAAAGGTGGGGCAGGTGTGGGAACAGTTGAAGTGACCTTAAGGAGATGAAGAAACCTGAGGGAATGTGGGGTGGGGAGGGGACTGTATCCCATTCCCCCAGCAAATCTGAGGAGTTCAAAGGCCACCTGGGGCCCCAGTGCTGCTGGTGAGCCTGGCCAGCCCCTGCAGCCCTGGCTCCAGATATCCTCCCTGCAGTCCAGATGCTGCAGCAGTGAGAAGACTGGGTCAGACAAACGCCCTAAAGTCCCCCCACCCCAGAAGGACACGTGGAGGCAGGGCTTTAGCAACTTCATAGGCAGCCCCCTGGTGTTCCAGTTTTGGTACAAACACAGGAACACACAGCTAAAGAGCCAACAGCTGCCCAGCAAGCTGCACCACAGGTAACAGTCTCCACGCCCTGTGGGGGCAGCGCAGGAAGGCGCTAGGCGCTACAGAGCTCAAGATAAGCGGTGAGCATGGTGACGTGCACAGTGAACTCAACTCTGCAGATCATGGGAGGCCTGCCCTTCCTACTCGCTCTGTGCTCCTTCCTCTCACCCTACGGCACACCTCCATCACAGCATGGCAACACTCAGCCACAGTCCTCACTCTGGAGGGCCGATGTTGCAGCTCACAGCCACATGCAAGCAGACTCAGCGCACGCAGACAGGCTGGCCATTCTACCTGCCAAACCCACTGCCTGCTTCCAGCAGAAGCTATCTACTTGCTCTGGGGTTGCTCAGGTAAGCAGTTCTTTGAGCCACTGCTGACTTCAGGAAGGCACCTGCCTCAAGGGCCAGCAGCTCCTGAGCCAGCCAGAGGCAAGGGACCTCAGTGTCATGCCAAGCAGAGGCAGTCCCTGTGCCTTGTGAGCCCAGCCTGGGTGAGTCTGTGGAGGGGGCAGGGAAGGGCCACCTCCTGCTTTCTTTCTACATCTAAAGGGTGACAGTCCATCCTTGTACCACCACCCTTTGCTCACAAAGCCCCAGAGTCTGTGCTTGCGAGTAAAAATGCTGAACAAGACACAGACTCCTTCTGCAACACCAGATTGCAGTCATCAGATGTGGCCGATGGATGCTTCTGCTTCAATAACTAAAAACTGTTTCCTAGACTTAAAACATGGAGAGGCCTGGTTAAGAGGGAATTCTTAGTTTCTAGTGCCCTCTTCCACTTGTGCTCCCACCTACTTGAAAACACACAAGTAGCAGTAATGGCTGACAGCAACCTTTAGGACACGGTCCTGGAATGAGAACCCCAGGGAAGACAACCTCCTGGCCTGGGAACCCACAGCAAATATTTCTTCCCACTCTCACTGCTCAGGATAACAGAAGTGATTCTGACCATTGGGTAGGGGGAATGCACAGCATACAAGGCAGCTACCAAATCTGGTAATTAAAATTGCATGTAATACTTTTTACCTTGCTGATTTTTTTTTTTTTTTTTTTTTTTTTTGAGACAGAGCCTCAAGCTGTCCCCCTGGATAGAGTGCCCTGGCATTACAGCTCACAGCAACCTCCAACTCCTGGGCTCAAGCGAGTCTCCTGCCTCCGCCTCCCAAGTAGCTGCGACCACAGGCACCCGCCACAACGCCTGGCTATTTTTTGGTTGCAGCCGTCATTGTTGTTTGGTGGGTCTGGGCTGGGGATTCGAACCCATCACCTTAGGTGTACGTGGCTGGCGCCTTAGCCGGTTGAGCTATAGGCGCCGAGCCACCTTGCTGATTATTTTAACAACAAATTCTGTCGCCAAAATTGGAAGGCGTAAAGAGAGACAGTCAAAGAAACGGGAGAAGGGGACAGGAAGTTACTATTCCTTCTGACTGCACCCTCATTCCAATGCTGAGAGGGAGAAGCTAGGTCAGGCTGGTACAGATGGCAGCCACGTGGCCTGCATACAGGCTGGGCTGGTGGAAGTGGTCTCTCCAGGGGGTGAGGACACGACTCAATCCAGGAGGCAGCTGCCAAGACTCACTTCCAGGGGGAGGGGAGGGGAGGACGGTGGCCAGGTGGAGTGAGGGTAATTGGTGGGACCTTACCTACTGTGCAAATTGCAAGGGTATACTGAGTCAAATATATTGAGTATAAATGTCTTAACGCAACAATTAAGTAAGTGAGGTGAATGCTATGTGTTAACCAGTTTGATGTAAGCATTCCAAATTGTATATAAAATCAGCACATTGTACCCCCCATAAATGCAGTAATGTACGCAGTTACGATCTAAAAAAAAAAAAAAATACCCACTTCCCAAACATACTGCAGTCTCTCTGCTCAGGTTCAGATAAAGGTGACAACAGATGCAAAAGAAACTGCCAGAATCTTAGTCAGTAGGGCCAGGTCAGAGTTCATGTCCTCCCACTGGCTCAGACTCATTAGAAAGAGTGTGGATTTGCCTGGGGGAGGGGGTATATTGAAGGAAACAGGAGGGTGGAAGACATAAGAAGTGTTATGTCCCATAAAGAGGTGCTTTGTTCTGTGGCAGGGATCAGACCTGGTTCCCCTTTCAGGAAACACCTCCCAATGTGATGACACTTGACAGACAGCTGATGACCTTCTAGAAAACAGAGGCAAGGGCTCTGCTTGCCTCTGGCTCAGGTTATTCTGGGAGGACTGAAGAGGTGCCATCCAGGAACAGCACTTCCAAGCAGAAAAGGGAGATGACAGCCCCGGGCGCTGTGCGGACCAGAGAAGCTGTAATTAGCCTCTGTGCTAGCTCACTGGTGGGTTAGCAGGGATGGCAGGCTGACGGCTGCGCCTCCATCTCAGGTTTGTTCTGCTTGTCACATCTCACACATCCACAGGACATTCCTAACAGTAGCCAAAGAGAAATTTCAGAAGAACTTCCCCAGAATGATTCCCTTGCTGCTGTAATAGCACCTCGACTCAGCCCATTCCTTAGTGACTTCTGCTTCACAGGCTGCACCTAGTTTGTACTCACTGGACACACCACAGCCCTACACAAAGCCTCCTTCCACCAGACTGTCCCTGCAGCCTTTCTGTCACTGGAGAGCTCTTTTCACGCTAAGCCATAGAAAGACACTCACCATCACCAAGCGCCCTTCCTGTGTCACAGAGGAGAGGCCAAGCTTGACTTGGTCCTGCTCTCTAGCTCCTGCCAGGCTGGCGGACTGTGCATCAACTCCCTCCCTGCTACGCCCCTGGTTTTAACACACAAAGGCCTCCTGCTAAAATGGCTCCCACAGTCACTGGATACTGTCAGAGAGAAACAACATCAAAGCAAAATTTTAAACAAGTTTTGCCATGAGATAAGATACTGCATTCAGGCAATGGCCGAGGGAAAGGATGTAGGGGACAGTTCAGAAAAGCAGAGGAGCCTTGAGCCTGCACCATTCAGCTGCCTTCTTGAGAAACTGCATAACCCTACAAGGGAGCAAGTGAGCCACAGGGCTCCCCGCAGGGGCTGGGGAAGCATGTCCCCTTACTCACTGATGCTGCTGCCGACCAGACTGACCCTCATCGGTATGTCTTCAACCAGCAGCCACTTGCTCAGACTTGTTACTTTAGAAAAGGCACATCTGACGGTCCTCTGCTCTCTCCCCTGCACAGGAGATGCTGTTTGGGGCCCACCAGCAGCAAGCCCTGCCTTCTGTTTATGTTCCAGTGGTGGGGCTGAGCACAGAGTTGCCCCATGCTGCCGGACAACAAGCAGAGCCCAGCATGGGCAAAATCTCAGCCTCTGAACTGAGAAAAATGAAAAGGCTGCCACTGCTGGGGGCAGAGCCCGCCATACCAGAGGAACACAAAGGGAAAACTCAGCCTTAAGCTAATCACCAGGCACAACTCACCTGACTTATCATGTTACAGAGTTAACAAGCAAACATACTTAATCACTATTCGTATTTCTAGAAAATGATCGCCCTTTCCCAGAAAATAGGTGCTGGACTTACCTTTACACAGAACAGCCCATATTAGTGCTCAGCTATAGGATAAAGTCATTGTACTACCTGCGAAAAGCCACTTAGTTATCTGATGACAAAGGATATTTGAGGGTCATTAGCAAACTTATAGATGACTCAAAAGATTACAGTTTCAGAGACAAGCTCCTGATAATGAGGCCTGACAGGAAGTGGGGTGGCCTGCTCTCAGCAGTTTTCAGCTGGCCAAGTATATTCCCAAACTCTTCCCACTGAGATACAAGAAGCAGGCTCCACTGGCACTTAGCAGGACAGCAAGTTCTGTATTTTCCTTGACAAGACTGAGTAGGGCTTGGCAGATACTGTACTTCAAACTAAATATGAAATCCTAGGGCTTGAGTGTCCACTTCCTTCTGGTAAAAACCAGAAGGAGCACCTCTGGGACAAGTGGATGCTGAGAGCAGCCGGCCCAAGCCACACTGCATTGCCTTTCAATGAGGTAGCGGGGCTGGGCAGAGGAAGAAGGGGAAGAAAAGGGCTTTCTTACACAGATTCCATTTCCAAGTCATCATCTTCCTGAGAAAGTTGTAGGTAAGGGTTGTCTGAAGCTGGACGGAATTTATACCCGGTTAGAACAAAGAATACCAGCGTTGCCATTTCGTCCAGGAGCTGCAAGTTTAAAAAACACCCCAAAAGAAAGAGATTAGCAATGATGTTCTTCAGAAATCAGTGGAACTATGCAAACAAATACACCCCACATACACAACCCACCCCTTGAACTCTCACTCAGGGGTCAGAGGTCACAACTAGATAGCGTTCTCCTCAGACGTGCTGAAGCCTAAGCCAGGAGCCTCCTGGTCAGCGTGGACATCTCAGGGTCTGTGCTTTTCCCTGCTTTAACCAGTCTTCATCGGTAGCTTTTAAAAGTTCATGATATGCCCACATTTTCCTATAGCGCCTAAAGCACCAAGAGAGTTCTTCAAGAAAAAAGTCTCTAAATATGCAAGTAGTGGCTTACTTTAGTAGCAAAATTAGTTCTAATATATTGTAAAGATATTTTATTACTGAAATAAAGATAATCAGCAAAGAAGAGCCTGGATTCTAAACTATTCTAAGCCTTATAACTGAAGGAAAAGACTAAGTCTCATCTAAATTCTAATTATATAGGGCAAATATCGTCTCTCTCTAAGGCTTTTCTCTTCAAAGACTTTTAAGATTGCAAACTAAAATCAACAATGTAATTATTTTCAGATTTCTCACATAATCCAGCAGTCTTCATGGACAAACAGAAAATCTTATTGTAGACCAGAAGAGAGAAGTCTTACTAGTTATTTCCAGATAAATTTAATATGTAGTAACAACAGTAAGTTACACCCCCAGACTTTACGCTCAGACATAAATTGTCCAGCACTGTTCCCTGTGAACAGCATACCTGGTAGAGCCACTTCCACTGGAATGGAACAGCGAATTTGAGGAGAAATGCAATGATCCTGGTGAAGTATATGTAACACACAATCTATATGAAGAAGAAACGGGAAATAAAATCAATATAAATATTAGGGCACCACATTTGCTTTTACAAAATTAACTATGAGACAGAAGACAGATCGCCCAAAGAACAGCATTTAGCACTTGCAGCGCTAGTCAGTGAATGCAGCAGTGAGGGGGGACTGCTCAGCCAGTCAGCTTGAAAGGATTCTTCACTGTCTCTAGATGACCAAGTCAGTGGTTAAGGGCCACACCCACGGGAGGACAGGACACTTTAGTATGGCTGTTGTTAAACCTTTCCTCATCTTATACCCTTTGATTTCATTCTCCAAAGGGCTCTGAAAATAATTACAGTAATAACAGCAAAGGAGAAACACAGAGGAAAACACTGACTGCCAGGGCAGCGCCTGTGGCTCAGTGGGTAGGGCGCCAGCCCCATATTCCGAGGGTGGCAGGTTCAAACCTGGCCCTGGCCAAACTGCAACAAAAACACACCCAGGCATTGTTGCAGGTGCCTGTAGTCCCAGCTGCTTGGGAGGCTGAGGCAAGAGAATCGCCTAAGCCCAGGAGTCAGAGGTTGCTGTGAGCTGTGGTACCACAGCACTCTACCAAGGGTGACAAAATGAGACTCTGCCTCTAAAAAAAAAGGCAAAACAACAACAACGACAACAAAAAACACTGACTTCCCAGTCTCTTCTCTAGCATATGCTATAAATGTTCAAGGAAAAAGGTACAAACACTATCTGGCCTTTGTTTCTCCTCACTGGGACAAGAACTCAACATTCTGGCCACTAGAGCACGGGCTACTCCCAGGGACTAAGCCCAAGTGGCCAGTTTGCAGGCCAGGCCAGGCCTACTTGGGTCTCAGGCATGAACACCCACTATCCAGGCCTGGCTGTTGAGGCCCACTCATCACTGTCCCCACATCATCAAGAGAGACTCTGTGACGATGCCTATGCCTGTCACAAAAACTATGGAAAAAACAAAGAGACAAACCTGAGTGGGTCGCTTGCCTCTTCTTCTCCACTGCTAACGCCTCTAATGTTGGCTCAGGCAAAAGAACTATCCCAAGTGACAGTCAATGCCACAGACTTGGAAACCTTCTCATAAGAGTCAGGAAGCAAACTAACTGTGCAAGATCCATCCCTTCCATATTCTCAGAATTGTGACCCTAGTGACCTATAGCAGGTGCTATCTTTGGCACTATGCTCACGGGACTTTTCATGTCACCACAGCCCTGTTTCTAGGTTTTACAAAAACTGTCTCAATTTTTCTGTTCTTAAGGCAAATATTACTGTCATAACATGAAACTAGTTTTCTGTAGAGAAAGATACTCCATTAATTTTTTAAATTAAAAAAAAAGGCTGAAGAGTATGACGATGTGATCCCATTTTTCTATATGAATAAGAACAGCAAGTCAAATGGGCAGCTAAGTATGGATATGCCTAAGAAAAAAGCTGGAAGAATGCCCACTCACTCGTTCCCAGTAACCCCCTCACAGGGTAGGGGAGAGCGGAGAGGGGCCAGAGGGAGACCTGTCTCACACATCATATAGGCTTCTGCTGTGCTTCCATAATCTCTGCATCTTTTTTCTTATATCAAGCTTGTATCACTTTTTAAAGTATTTAAAGCCAAATTTAAAATTAGAAAGAAGTAATCCAGATATTTAATTTCCTGTCTTATGAGACATGGCTTAATTTTATAAAATGAAACCCACACAGCACCAGTTAGCACCCCTTGTGTTTTTACCAACACTTTGGAAGTTCATTTGCTCTACTTCTTGAATTAACCTTATTTACAGATTTAGTAGTTCTTTTTTTTTACTCACCAAGACGTAATAATGTCTGAAAAGCTTCAGTTTTGCTAAGTTAATAGCAGCTAGAAAAAAGACAGAACAAAACAAAAGGCTCATTAACTTTTCTCATTTTTGAAAGCAAGTCCCATTCAGGTACCTTCTTGGTCAGGTGGCCAGGTCTAACGCAGGTGAGTATCACCCAGATGCACATCCAGTAACTGGGCAGGATCTCCTGTCACCAGGAGGAGCAGGGAGTTGCTGGGCCAGTGGTGAGTTGGAGCTGGCTTATACTGGTGACTCCTGCTCGGGGTCAGCAGCTTGAACCAAGCCACTGGGGAGCATATTTTCATCACAGGAATTAGCAGATGCTATAGATCAGAACCTTCTCCCCTCCCAGAGCCAGCAATAAATAGTTCGGCCCTGAACAGCAGGCATAGAACCATGGCCTCACTAGGATGGGTTTCGTGTCGGTCTGAGAGCACCATCTGGGAGAGCCTCTCAACAGCTGAGGGTATAAACTCAGTGAACCTGTAGGTATATTTTGCAAACTTCACTTCAATTTCCAGTAAGTGACTTGTAAGGAGCCCTTTTAATACAACCTCCCTGATTATGTCCTACCTTGCTACTGCTCAAGGTCAGCTCCTGAAGTCAGCCCCTGCTAGGACAGCTGACTTCCCGGCACTGCCTCAGACTATGAAATATTGATGACCACAGGGCAGCCTGGCTCCCTCCCAACCAGCAATCCTTTCATTCATCACATACCCTCCTGCAGGAGGCAAATTAATTTTGCTTAATAGCATTCAATTACTGACTCAGTTTAAGAACGGGACTGTGGGTGGTGAAGGTTCCAATTTCCTCTTCCTCCCCCTCTGGCTCATGATTAGTGGGGGGCACTCAGACTTAGGATTCCAAAAGAAATTCCCGGAATCCTAAATTATCTTTAAGATGATTATCAACTAACAGTATCTGCAAAAACCTCCTCTGAGAAACGGAATGCACTAAGAATTGTTCCGAAAGTCTTTCAGGGCAATTCTGACTCTCATGGTTGGGAGGATAGAATATAACCACATAGACTGGCCCCACTGGCTCATGCCTGTAATCTTAACACTTTGGGAGGCTGAGGCAGGAAGACTATTTGAGTTCGGGAGTTTGAGACTAGCCTGAGCAAGAGAAAGAACTCGATTCTCTACCAAAAAAAAAAAAGAAAAGAAAAGAAAAGAAAAAAATAGGGCTCGGCGCCTGTAGCTCAGGCAGCTAAGGCGCCAGCCACATACACCTAAGGTG